AAGTATAGAGAAGTCATAGAGATACAAAAACATCCTAACAATCTAAATAGAGATGGCTGCAACATAAATAAAATATGGAAGACCATTCTCCCGATTATTCAAGACCGACCAATTTCCTCCACCTTTCCTCTCTCCCGCCACAATTATTTTCTCCCCCCTCCCTCACCACTCTAACAAGCGACTAATATAAAAAGGAATGGCCCGGAGCAACAGCTCATTATCAAGCTGCTCCTAGCCCTGATGAAGTAGACTGCAAGGTTCATGAAATGTTGGCATTTCAAGAATGGATTTGGACACAGAGAAAATCCACGAAACGCATAATCTTTATATAGAAAGTACTCGTGGAAGCTTTAAGATCATTTTCAAACTAAAGTGTTGGAATTACGAGAGTAAGTATCTTTTTGTAGTCTACTCATCAGCGCTCCTCGTGGGTCCTAACTTTTCAGGCGAAACTGTTTCCTAGCTTGTTGCAAGATACAACAGTTGGTATTTCAGTTAGTTTGGTCAGGTAGCTGCTGATTGAAGTTAGCATGAATAATTGTTTCTAAAACGCTTCTTGAGTCTGCAAAAATAGTGATATCGAAGTAGTCGTCCTCAGAGACGATGTGCAGAACTTGAAGGATGGCCCAAGTCTCCGCAGAAAAAATAAATGTTTCAGGCGGCATTCTATGCGTGATTCTAACATTGATTTCCGGGAACGACTTGAAAGTATAAAATTGAATTAATGGGACGAAAGAGGGGAAGACGATCATTAGAAGAAGTAAAGAGAGGTTTACACCTTCTTGCTTCTATATCACCGGTGATTGGGTTATCTCACATACTGCCGATTACGAGATGCGCAATTACTTGATTTTCTTGATTTTCTATCTCTCGCATACGATAATACTGCACGGGCGTGAAATCAATGGGAAGATCCCGATTGATCATATCTCGATTGGACACCAATTATAGCGGCCTAGTCTAAGGGCTTTCTAGTTTCATGCTATGAGTAGCTTGTGTCCAATTGAATCATGTTTAATCGACTATGTTTAATCGGGCCAATACTCAATGTAGTTCGTGCACTGTCATGACACGTCCATTTTTGCTGGTAGCGCGAACCGAATATGTCAATGACACATAAATCGTATGTGTGCAAGTTCTACTTAATCGGTAAAATAGCCGACTTTAGGATTTTCTTAATCGTCTGTTTTACCGATTAAACGCAATAATTTTTGCAACAATTTTTTCTTTCTTTATAGATTAAAAAATTCTTTTCTAGAACTAAAATATACACATTGGTCTTACACATCTATGAGTTGGAGTTTATATCGAGAATGGAAAAAAATTTTGAAATTGAAAAAGATCTTTACCATTTTTCAATCCAATGGCGTCACTGTTAAAAATGTAACCATGAGTTTCCTTTACATGTAAATGAAGCTCGTGATTATGAACAAAATTAAAATTAATGAATGATTTAACTAAAAATTAAGTTACAGTAGTTATTTAAATGAACGTGTACATGAAAAATACATTAAATTTTATGTACACAAATATATACTTTTTAATTATAAATACATTAAATTTAATGTAATGTCATGAAATTAAATTCAAATTGTGTAACTTAAAAGTTAATAAGATTTAAGAATATTTCTAATAGTGTAGAGCATATCAACGTCGTGATAATATTTGAGCAGATTTTCAAAATGCATTTTATCCGAAATTTATAATTTTCAGAAAATGAGAAAAAAGCTACAGGGAAATTACGCGCCTTACAGAAAATAACAATTTGCCAATTAAAATGCAAAATGTTAAACAAAATTACCAAATTATTTTTCATAATATTAAACAAATGCATTTTGTTTATCTCTAGTTAAAGGACATAATGCACTTCGAATGTCTAGACTTTCTTCAGTACATAAATTGATTGTGAAAAAATGCTTTCAGAACATCGTAGAGTAGCATAAAAAAAAGTCTTTTAACATTAAAAAAATGAAATTTTCGACAAAGTGCATTTTGGAAGTCAGTTCCTCATTTGCTTGATATAAAAACTCTGCAATTTATTGTATTTACGAACAGTATAAAAGTATTAATAGACTCAAAATTAACAAAATACGAGACAGTTCAATGAGAGAACAACGCAGGTGCGTAATAAATTTAATAAATTATAAAATTGATACATTTTTACAATTTTGAATACAAACTCATTAGACATCATTAGACATCATTAGACAAAGGATGATTGTTAAGTCTGTATTTGCTGAGGACTCCAAAGTGAATTGAAACACTGATTATATAACTGATGGAATAAAGAAGTAATGCATCTGTATTTTATTATTTTGCGTACCGCTCTCACTCGCTCTTTGTGATTCACATTTTGTTTGAATTTGGAGAGTCCGTAAGAAGATTACAGTTTCAAATAGTCTAAATACAAAATTTTGTTTTTTCGAAATTTTGTATTTAGAATTTAAAATGTATCAGGGTGAACTTCCGAAAACGTCCAACGCCCGATTATCATTAAGTCATACACCACCTAAATATATTATCATTACATCGCTCGCTGTAATAGGGCGTGAAGCAACTTCCATCTCCCCTTCGACTCTCACCATCGACTCCCCTTCCCTCTCCCCCCTGCTCAGGGGCGCACGACTCTCATCTTCAACTCTCATTCCCCCTCCCTCCTTCTTGCAAAGAGGCGCACGACTCTCACCTTCGACTCTCCCCTCTCCCCTGCAAAGGGGCGTACGATTCTCACTCCTGACTCTCACCCTTCTTTCCCCCTGCTTCAGGTCCTATTACACGCCCTATTATAGCGAGCGATGTAACGGTAATGTATTTAGGTGGTGTATGACTTTACTTAAACATTTTTGACATTAAACCTTTTTGTCGGTGAAAATCCATTTAAGGGCATTCATTTAATGTCATTTGGAGTATTTCTATCAAATTTCATGATAATCGGGCGTTGGACGTTTTCGGAAGTCCATATCATATTCATGTATCGATTTCATAATTTGTTAAATTTATTGTGCGTTGCGATCTGCGTTATATTTTCATTGGCCTGTTTCATATTTTGTATTGTGACAAATTATAGTTCATGGACTATTAGTTACATGAACGAACAACGTCAAGTTCTTAAAATTAGATTTAAACATTCGTTGCTACAAAATTGTTATACAAAAATTTATGCGTATATATGCATGCGATATTGATGTAGTCATTTTTTAATTATTCATGATTCATTTTCGTAAACGTAATTTTGACGTTATAATTTATTTTTCTGTTTGGAAAATTATTTACTTTTACCTTGAAATTTAATTTTGGAAACTCACTTTTAGAAAGAATTATTTCATTAGAATATGGATGAAGAATCTCATAATACTGTGCCTTTTATTTTATCTTGTATGATTTTTATTTGCGAAAAATCTTCGAGATGTCTGATCTATTTGACGACGGTGCTGCATATTGCTCGTAACTGAGCGGCAAAATGAATTCTCCAAAATTTCTATATACAATGTATTATCTAGGAAAGAAAAAGATGATCTTATGCACTTTAGGAAATTTTAAAAATTGTAAATATAAAATTTAATATTCATAATTACAATTGACCTGTTAAACTCGAATATTTATAATACATTTTATTTCTTTTTAGTGTTTTTATAATAATTATCTTTAAAATTTGTAGTAAGTATTTTAAGGTAGAGCGAAGCTATTTTATCCATTTCTCACAATAATGTTTATGTTTCTGAATAACATATACTCAATTTATAGGTCATAATTGTGCTCTCAAGAAGCAATCATGATTGATAAGGATTGTAGATTGTACAAGCACGTTACTGCAAAAAGATATTGTTTGTTGTCATAAATTTCATATTACTTTAAGGTTGAAAATGACGGAATAGCTCCGCTGTACCGTAGCATAATTCAGAATTAAATTTTTGTTAATAAATCTGTAGAAATGTTATATGTATTTTGCATTACATTTCATATTTCTTTTCTAATTATTTTTAATAATTATTTTTAGAATCCTTAGTATTACAGGATATTCAGTGTTCAATTTGTTAATAATTAAATAAATTAGTAAAAGTATTATATATATATATATGTATATATATATATATATATACATTTTATATTACTTTTTATTTCTTTTCTAATGTTTTTAATAATTATTTTTAAAATTCATTAGCATTTTATCATAATTCAGTGATTAATAAATTCTTCTGTTAATAAATTAATAAAAATATTATATGTATTGCATTATTTTTCATATTTCTTTTCTTCCATTTTTAAAAATTTTCTATAGAATCTATGGTATTGCAGCATATTTCACATTTATTAATAAATTTGTGAAGATATATTATAAATTAATAAAAATATTACATGTTTTGCATTACTTTTTATCATTATATTTTTTCCATCTTTTTTAATAATTATCTTCAGAATTTTTAATATTTTGGTATTAAACATATTATTTATACTAAAATTTATTTTAGCACATTTTAGTCATTTTTATGTTTTGTTTTGATGATTTCATAAATGCTTTTAACGATTCCATCTATTTATTTCTATCATAGTAGACATGATCAGCTTTAGGCTCCCGATAGGTATGTTTTCATGAGTTTATAGATAGCCTTAACTTTATAGTCTTTCATAATCAATAGAACCACAACATAGTAAATTACAAAGTTTTTAAATCAAACACTTAAATGGATAATCTTATTGCTCTTGTATTATTTACTCTTGTATTGGCGTAAAACATTGATTATGTCAAAAGATCTGTTTTTTATAGTTGAACTAATGTTCACTCTGTATTTAAAGTAACATAAGTGTATGTTTTGACAAAGTGAGAGTTTCAATATAAAATCTCTTATTAATATGTTATCATGAAATACAATATCTCCTTTGAAGAGATGAGTCGGGAGCCTAGAAGTTGGCGTGTCTTTACATCTTTTTATATTATAATAAAAGAGAACATTATTAATGTATCTTATACTTGCATTATTATAACTGCAATATATATAAAATGCAATACATACTATTTCAGAGTCTTGGCGTTGTCTTATATGTATTAGTTTGCGGTGCTCTACCATTTGATGGACCTACAATGCAGTTGTTACGATCTGTGGTTGTCTCAGGGAAATTCAGAATACCATTTTTTATGTCTGCAGGTAAACAAGCTAATCTAACAAGCAATACTTTATACTTACTATTAATTAGTAACTTTCAAGGGAATGTTACACACAATTAAGTTTGCACCGCTTTTAAGCAGGGAATAGAAGTAAATAATTACTGTAACTGTCGTTATTTAGTTATTTAATTACCTTGTTGTAATAACAACAATTTGATAATGATGTTGCGAATTTTTTATGAATGTAACACCAGTGTTGGAATAGTCAATAGTTACTTATAACAAATTAAAAAAAGTCATTCGTTACTGAAAACAAAACTCGCAATTTATAACTTGTTACTTTTTAGTATAACTTGTAATGAGTAATTTTACGGCATTACTGATTACTTATCTTTTTTTTCCAATAAATAACGCATAATGATAACAATTTATTTTTTAAGGTAATTTTCCTAACCTCAGCTAAGTTAGTTATTGTTACAGTCATAAAAAATTGTAAAATTATTATCAAATTGTTATTGTAAAAGTAATGGAAGAAAAGTAACTTTTCTATTCCTTGCTTTTAACTTTTTTGAAATCTACATAAACAATAAATTGTTTATGTCGTATATCTAATTGTGTTTTATCCAATAGGTATTAATATTTAAAATTTTGATTTTTTTAATTTTAAACACTAGTGTATGGCAGTGATATAAGCAGTGTTTCCACTTTGAGGGAAAACTTCCTTTTTTGAAAAGTTTTCCTGTTGGAATTTTTATAAGGAATAAAAGAGAAAAGAGAAAAAATGAGAGAAAATACCTAAAAATAGAAAAAAATAAAAATAAAAATTGTCCTTTTTTTTTAAAGAAAGCGCGAATGTTTTGATTAAGTTAGTAGTTAATTTTATGATCTTGTGCTATCAATGTGATACCTATCAATATAAGTACAGGCACTTATGAATGTGTTTAAATATTATGCATCGCCTAAAAATCTATAGCTCACAACTTATACATATACTTTAGATTTTCAGTACTGTGTAGATTTGTAGTGTATGTCAGAATACCTATAAAACAGAGTGTCTCGTAATTATTGACACAGCACTCGTGTGCAGGTAAAGGCGGACTGAAGATAGACTGAGTCGAAAAGTCATGTACTATTTTGCAATTTTAATACCCAGCAAACGAGAATGGATTAAAATGGATTGAAATTTTTTTCTATCCGAATGCGCATTTAAAAAAAAAATAGCGAATACTTTTTTTTGAATTTAATTGGATTCAATTGGATTCAATTAGATTTCATTGGATGCAATTAGATTGAAAACTGCATTTCCTATTCACAAAATTTTGAATTGAATAGTATTCACAATGCACAGAAAAAGCTAATATTATTTTTAGTATATAAAAAAAAAGGGAGCATGAAACCACAGCACTGGATGTTGTTTGTGAAATTTAATAATTCATTACATCAATAAAAAATCTTTAGACGTTTCGACCACAATCTAGCTATCTTCAGTAAAATCACAAATATTAGTAAAACGCAGAATTTATATATACATATATCTGACATTAAATTCAGCCATCGTATAATATAAATATGTATAAATGTGTTCTTTCATCTTGTGAAGTTGTATCGTACAACATTGTTGCAGCGCCAATTATCATATTACAAGTTATGTAGAACAAGAATTTCCAGATTCTAATTTAAAAATTAAACTATCATTAATATCTTCTAGTCAATTTTATGAGGATTGAATCGTTATCTGTTTTACAGACAAAATGATGAATCTTAAGCACTTTCCTCACGCAGATGAAAATTCGTCGTGATATTGTGTATTATTATTTGTCATATCGTATATATTACCGCTATTTATATATATGTAAAAAGTTTAAATTGTTCTAGCATTATTTATTAAGTTTGAGAGAAATCTTTCTTTAGAAAAGGCAGAAAAACATCAGGCAAACCTTCAGTGTTACTTTGCTTATTAATACTACTTATTTGGCTTTTTATGTATATCATTTCAGAAATTCTTCTTTTAAATAATGATTGTTCTATATCTTATAAACCACTCCACAATGGTCCTCTTTACGTATACGATCTTGTATATAAAGATCGTGTATGTAAAGAGGAGTGATTTATAAGATAAATTGTCTAGATTGTGAGTCTTCTTATGTCGGCCAAACAAAAAGGAAATTGAAAACTCGAATCAAAGAATATAAGATTGACATAAGAAGATCCACCTCTGAGATGTCAGTGGTTTCACGTCAAGTGAATGAGATGCACGAATTGGATTGGGATAATATTAGAATTTTAAATACAGAACAATCATTATTATATATATAGATTATTATAGTTATAATTATTTTTAGATTGAAAGGCATAGAGCATATGCAACCATGCAATTCCTATAAATGAATAAAAGTGCATTCAGGATTGAAAAGCATTCATTTTAACATTCGTGAATCAATATTTCTGAAAATCTGAATCCATTTCAATTCATTTCAATCCATTCTCGTTTGCTGGGTTAACGAGATATTAAAAATCATCGAATAAGCCCATCGCTATGTAAATGCGCGACGAGATGCCGCCCAGCGTTGTAGGCCTAGTATCTGAAAAAGGATTAAAATAGATTAAAAATTTTTAATTTATTTTAATTTATTTGAATCCAAATTCTTGATTCATGTATAGAAAAGAATTGAACGTGGTAAAATTGAATCATTTTTTATTCATATACGGGAATAGAATATAATTCTTTTTTATGGATTCAAATAGATTCGTTTTTTTATGGATTCAGATGAATTTCAATTGTCAATCAGATATAAAATTAATTAATTTTATATGCTAAAATAAGTATTATAAACTACATGGTACATCATATTCTAAAATGCACACATGACAAAATTATAATTAAAAAAACCATTTTCATCTAAATTAGCAAATTAATTTTTATGCTCTCAAACGGTCACCCATCTTGAAGCTGTATCTCGTGTTTGATCTCTAATCATAATCTTACAGGAACTGCTATTTCGATGATCCATGTACCTCGAATGTTAAGGGATGTACAACTGTGCACATATAGTTAAATCGTATTTCTTTTATGAATGCTCTGAATATGATAGATTTCCTAACCTGAACAGTCTTCAACTTAAGATTAATATTTCGCTTCACGAGATAAAGTGATATTTTTTCCTGCCAGATTCTTTCGTTTTCTACAATGTGTAATGAATGCGTATAATTTCATCAATATTAGAGCTGAGAATTCATCACTAGGGTTTACTTTCAAAAACATGAAATTATCTTTATTGAAATAAAAAAAACTTTGTTTCAATCTTGTGTTACGAATTAAAATGGATTCATGACTTTAAAAATGTTTTTTCGATTGAAAAGAATAAGACTCACTTTCTTTTAATCTCGTATTATGGACAAAAATGGATTTGAAGCTCTCAAACCTGCATTGGATTGAAAGAATAAGAATTACGTAATTTTACTCCTATGTTATGGATTAAAATAAATTTCATGGCTTATTTTTTCTGTAAAACTTTTTCGATTGAAAGACATACAAATCCTATAGATTCAATTCTACGTCATAAATTAAAGTGGCATATTTTTTTCATAAAACTTTTTCGATTGAAAGGAATAGGAATTCCGTAATTTTAATCCCATGTCATGAATTAAAATGGACTCAATATTGTTTATTCGAATTGGATTGAAAAGATTAAAAAAATCAACAATTTGGATTCAGCAATTATCAAACGAATCTATTTCAATTTATTTCAATCCTTTTCCAGATATTGGGGATTACTAGAGGAGCGCGAGGAATTGTATTACATGGCTACATAGCAGTGTGGCGTGTCCCTGCAATAATTATGGCGTGTTCTTTTCTATCAAAATGAAAAAATTTTCAAGAATGGAAAATAACTCCTTACTTTAACTCGTTATGTAATAAAGCAGAAGTGAGCTTTTTTTTTAATGATCAGCAGTAACGGGTAATGGTGACTCATCTGGAAAAGGATTAAGATGGGTAGAAATGAATTTGTGTAATCATTGCCGAATTTAATTTTTTAATTTTTTGAATGCATTTTAATTCAGTTAAAGTTTAAGAATTCTTTGAATCCATTTTTAATCCACGTAGGATTGAAATTCTTATTCTTTCAATCGAAAAAAGTCTTGTGAGTCACGCAATTCATTTTAATCCATGAATTTAAATGACGTAATTGCTATTCTTTTAATCCAAAAAAAATTCGAGAGCCTCAAATCCATTTTTGTCCATAATACGGAATTGAAAGAAAGTGAGTCTTATTCTTTTCTATAAAAAAAATTCTTGGGTCTTAAATACATTTTTATTTGTGACACAGGATTGAAGCGAAGTTATTTCGGCAATGTACAAAGATAATTTGAGAAATAAATCCTAGTATCAATTTTTGCTAGTAGCAAGTTTAACTAAACATCTAGTTAATTATATAATATTTACATGTTCAGTTAAACTGCACAAATTCTATCAGAATTTATTCGTCAAAATATAACATTATTTTTGTGCTTGGAATACGAATAACTTGGTTTATTTTTGCTCAGTATTACTGATTTCGCGTAATATAAAATATTGCATAACAATTGTGTAAAATTAATTAGATAATTATTCAATTTAATAGCTCAGCTCTAATATTGCTAGGGAGTCGAAATCTAATTTTTATGTTTTCGAAACGTTAAATCCGAATTTGTTAGGATTGATAAAATGTGCATGCCACAGCACGGATTTACGCAGAGAGATTTTCTATGCGTGAGTAATTTTTCATGAGATGCCAAATTTTTCGTGTTGTGCAGCAGTTCCGAGAAACGGAATAGCTTATGCACAATCGTGGAGGTGCTGGTCCACTGGAATGTTGTTGTGTCTGAGAGGAAGAAGAAATTTCTTCATGGGGTTTATGAAGATCCTGGAATCAGTGTGCGTCGTTTGGCACACACTAACGTATCGCGAAGAATGATGCATGATACTTTGCAGGAGAATAGTTTGCATCTTTATCATTATCAGCATGTATAAAAGCAATTGCCAGGAAACATACAACAACG